GGTATGCTTCTGACTTATGCAAAAGCTCATCATGTTCAGAGAGACTATTCAAGACAGGAACATTCAAACTCCAAGACCATGTCTCGAGAGATCCTTCCATATTCCAAAAACCACCAAGTTCAGACTCAGCAAGCTTCTCCCACTTCAGTTCCATCTTATCCAGAAGCATACTCATAATTTCCCGAGGCAAAGCATCTCCTAGAGCTAAAGCAACATTTGGGAAGCCCGTCTTATAAACTGTTTTAATCCACTTTTCTGTAAATAGATACCAAGAATTATCTGAACCAAGAGCCACATAATATGATGGTTCAAAAACTAAATTTGATTCAAACTCTGAGGTTACTGCATTTAGTGCAAAAGCGTCATCAGCACAAACCATGTGCTTAAGCTTTGAACCACTGAATGAGTCAACCTTCCCCAGATAAACAGCCGGGATAGAGTGTTGAACTCCTTCAGAATCCTTGTACTGCAGGCACAAAAAGGGCAAGTGTCCATTTTCAAACTCCTCTAACAAGGGTCTCAGTGAAGATAGTTTCTGAGATTCCATTCTTCTTCTAAGTTCAGTTCTTAGACGTTTCTCTGCTCTTAATTCTTCCTGTAGATCTGCAATCTCTTTATATGCTGGTCCAGATAGAAGCTTCCTGCTCTTTCTATCGATGGCATCATCGCTAATTTCTAAAGTCAGTATCTCAATTTCTTTCTGAATTCTAGTAAGCTCCTCTTTTGCAGCAAGCATAACATTGCTGCCAACATAGTTTCCAAAACTTTGCTCGACTAACTTTCTAGCTTCTTCCAAAGTTCGACCTGATTGGGAATCTTCCGCATCATCTGATTCCTTTGATCTATGGGTAACTTTTGCACCGGCAAGAAGATTTAGCACCATTCCATATGAAGCTGTAAACTGGGACACCAAAGGTTCAAGTCCAGCAAAAACAATCTTGCAACAGGCTTCAGCACCTTCATAAGGACTTTGAACAAGCACTACGTGACCCCTTTCATCAATCCCTCTACGTCCAGCACGCCCAGCCATTTGAAACAGTTCATTTGGGCTTAATTGGGTACGTCCACTGTCGCTTCTTTTGCTGAGGGATGCAATAATGGCTGTCCTAGCAGGCATGTTGATTCCTGCAGCAAGTGTTTCTGTAGCAAAGACAACCTTAACAAGTCCTCGCTGAAACAGCTCTTCTATGAATGATTTCCATAAAGGTAGACAGCCAGCATGATGTGCAGCAACCCCTTGCAGTAAACCCTTCACAGCAGTCTCCCTGATAGCATCAGGATACTTAATGCGGAACCTCTTCAAGGCTAGTTGAACCTCACTCATCTCACAGTCATCCAAGAGATTGTTATCTTGAACATACTGAACAGCGGCATCACATCCTTTTCTGCTAAAAATAAACCATATTGCTGGCAGCATATCTCGAGACTTAAGGTGCCATAATGTATCAGTAATTTGAGGTACCTAAAGAGCAAAAAGAAACGGAAAAAAAATTCAAATGGTCAAATTTATTGGCCAATCGTTTATGGAACACTGATCTCACAGGTCAGGTACATAACATCCTTAATCAATCAGTGTGTCCCTAGCAAAACCAAAACAAAAACGAAAACAAGGCTTGCTTTTGTATTTGTCTCACAAGATTAATGCATGAATCATTACTTGCGAACGGTGTATTAAGTTGATGTCATTCTTTGAAAGTGGTCGTCTAGACATGTTACCAGTACTGTCATCATAGCTCATCTCACTTGCACGTCTTCTTGAACTCCTCCTTCTAGACCCATCATCTTTGTAAGATTTTGTTCCTGAAGCATTAAGTTGAAGATAATTGACTGACAACCTCCTGTTCCATTCAAAGAAAACATAAACTTTAAATATTAATAGATGGTCCTATATTGGCAGAGCCTCTAAGAAATCTTCATGGTAATTGCAAGATAAACCTTAAATTTCCACCAACAGAATGTTTGGCAGAATAACTCTGATGAAGCTTAACCATGTAAATCAGATAAAGCTGAAGAGAATCTCCAAGATATTTTGATTGGGTAAAAACTAAGAGTTAAGTATACAATAAAAATAACAAAAACTAATCATAATGAGAAGCAAAGTACCTATTCATGTGCTTTCCTGTCTTATCAAGAAGTGGTAACAAAGAAGTCTTCGTTGAGAAATGCCAAGTCAATGGTACTGGACGCCTTGATGAAGTTACCAATTCAGTTTTACCATGAATCTGGAAACAGGATGAAAGGAGCGAAATACTGTGTGTCAAAATGTAATATATCTTCAGTGAATGTAGAGCATTAAATCATCAAAGGAGCAAAATACCTGACCAATCCAACCAGCCAATTCGTCTGGATTTGCAACTGTTGCTGACAAACATATGAGTTGAACTTTTTTGGGGCAATAAATAACCTGAAATATTTCATAGATTATATAACGAAACACTATGACAATATCATTGGCATTGAAGCAGTTTCCTGGAAACAAATTGCACTTACGATTTCTTCCCACACAGTACCCCGGTACATGTCACTTAGATAATGAACTTCATCCAGGACAATAACATCCACATGAAAAAGTCCATCCCCAGAAGAAGCCATTCCCACACTGCATTAAGAAGCTAAAGTGAAATACCATTCCTTATTCCAAGAATAAACTCAGAAGTTGAACTGAAAAACTAAGAACATAAATCTATAAACTACTGCTACTAGGACTGATTAAATAAGTTGTTTATACCTCTGATACAACATGTTGCGCAAGATCTCTGTGGTCATAATTAAAACCTGAGCATCTTTGTTCACTGCCGAATCTCCAGTAAGAAGGCCGACATTGTCGTCGCCAAAAGTCTCACTGAAATTACAACAACGCATCAGCTAATTCAATTCAACATATCATGACTTACAAGTACATCACCTACATTGCTATTTTCAAGGATCAATTACTTCAGCATTTTACATAAACTTCACCAAGAAATGTATATATTCTTTTCTTGTCAGAGTAATATGACTCGCATACCGAAATTCTCGAAACTTCTGATTGGACAAGGCCTTCAGCGGAGTTGTGTAAAACAATCTCCTTCCTCTGGCTACGGTTGCAATGGCAGCAGCTTCTGCTATCAGAGTCTTTCCACTGCTCGTGGGTGCCGATACCACCACGGACGAACCTCTCAAGAATGCTTGTATCGCTAATCTCTATCCAAAATTAATCAAAGAAAATGTAATTCAGAATTCATACGATTCATAAAATCTTCAATGGTGTATTCGAAATTGAAACTCACCTGAAATTTATCGATTCGGAAATCGTAGATAGAAGCGAGCTCTTCGTCATCTATCATTTCCTCGCCGAACACTTTAACTTCGCCGCACAGCTTCTCTACTCTCTGCCACTTGAACTCCTCGGGCCGAGTAGACGGCTCTGCGGCCGCCATTGAAGTATCGATTTCATCGTCGCTCTGTTCGAGTCCGTCCGACATAATATCGTCGGGAACGTCGTCATACTCATCCGCCGCCACGTCTTCGTCGTCGTCGTCCTCTTCGTACTCGTCTTCGTCTTCTTCTTCGTCGGCATCGGAGAGTTGAGATTTTGCAGGGAAGGCTGAGCTTGGGGATTGGAAAGTGACTCGAAAACGCAGTGAGCTTGGAGAATATGTAGGAGGTGATTTGGGGGAACAAAACCCTAGGGCTTGGGTGGTTTGGGGGAGATGGTGAAGCAGGGTATAAGAAGAGCGTTTGAGAGAAAGGAGGCGCGTGAAGGTATGAGGAGGTGTGAGGATAGAGAGAGTGTCCATGGCGGGAGAGATTTTTGGGCACCCCAGCTCCAGCTCAGTTGTGGGCTTATCGTTTTTTATTTTGATATTTTGAGAGTGGACAGGACAGTGACGATGCGACGTCGCTTCCGTTGCGTAACTGTTTTCGATTAAAGTACCGTTGATTTGAATTGAACCATTTGTTCGTTACTGTTGATTTGGACAAAGTAGGTGCCGTTGACGTGTAGATTTCTCAAACTAGTTAAGAAGGTACACAAGTTGGGCCCAATAATCGATGACCTGGGCCTCTAGTCAAAGTAGGTGCCGTTGACGTGTAGATTTCTCAAACTAGTTAAGTAGGCACACAAGTTGGGCCCAATAATCGATGACCTGGGCCTCTATTGGGGTCTCATTCAAATTTGTAAGAAAAATAAGGATGAAAGCAATTTTTGAGTTTTGGGTTTCAACTTTTGTTATATCTGATTGTCATTTTAATTTTTTAACTAATATTCGGGTGCTATCTATTTTGGTCACTCAATTCAATCATTCCATCAAATTTAATCATGTGACGTGCCTTTTAGAGGTAAATTCAACTTTTGAGTTCATTCTAAGCAATTAGAGGCAAAATTAGGTTTTATTGTTGTGTTAGGTTTCGAATGTGGGCCTTTTGAGGATTTTAGTGACTTAGGGTTTCAATTTAAAGGAAATGGGATAGATAGAGAGGTAGGCCGTTTTAGAAGATGTTTGTGCCCACATTTACATAATGAGACGAAAGGACTAAATTGACACAAATGAGAATAATTAAAACAGTACGAAAATTAGTTGGATAATCAAAATAAACTCGGGTATAAATTCATAGACCTTTACCCTTTTTATCTATGCAATTTTATTTGTTTACTTTCGAGCTTATTGTGCATCATATCATATGTATGTATATTAAATCTGAAATACTTTTTGAGCTAAGAAGGCCATCATGATTCATTTGTATTTTAAAAACTTGGTGTAAGATATTGGCGAAAAGAACAAGAAAAGGGAACGCACCCACCCAGCCACCAAAATTTGTAGGCATATAATTGTGCACCCACCAAACAACATGCAGCACATCCTTGCTTACTTCCACCAAACCCCAAAATGGCATTTCTAGCGTTAGTACGGAAATTTAGAGTCAAACATACACAAATTTATTTTTGTGTTTAAGTAAAATTAAGAAAAAAAACATGAAAATCTTGAAAAAATAATAATTAGAGAGAGGACACCTGCACAAGTAGGAAGGGAACACAAATTTTGGGGGAAAAAAAACAAAGGGGAAAGGAAATAAAAATTATTATTAAGTCAAAGATATCACTCCGCCACAAAATAACGACAATACCCAACTAAGACAATTTTTTAATTATTTAATAATTAAAACATTTTCGATTCCTTTCTACTACTTTCCTACCAAACCCCCCCACCCCGCTCTTCCGCAAACCCTCCTTTCACCAGTCTCAGCTCCCATCCCACACAGCCGGAAATCGATCCAACGGTCAGAGATGGCTCTATCCCGCCTCGCCTCCTCCTCAACCTCCGGCTCTAATCTCCTCAAACCCCTCACCTCCGCCCTATCCTTCACCCCATCTCTCCGCCGTCCGATCTCATCCGCCGCTGATGACTCCACCACCCTCACGATCGAGACATCTGTCCCCTTCACCTCCCACAGGTGCGACGTGCCTTCCCGCACCGTCGAGACCACGCCCAAAGAGCTCATGACGTTCTTTCGCGACATGGCGTTGATGCGCCGGATGGAGATCGCGGCCGACTCGCTCTACAAGGCCAAGCTCATCCGAGGGTTTTGCCATCTGTACGACGGCCAGGAGGCCGTCGCCATCGGCATGGAGGCCGCAATTACCAAAAAGGACTGCATCATAACCGCGTACCGCGACCATTGCACCTTCCTCGGCCGCGGCGGGACCCTTCTGCAGATTTTCTCCGAGCTCATGGGCCGCCAGGGTGGCTGCTCCAAGGGGAAAGGTGGATCCATGCATTTTTACAAGAAGGACGCTGGGTTCTATGGCGGTCACGGTATTGTTGGGGCTCAGGTTCCGCTGGGATGTGGCTTGGCTTTTGGGCAGAAATACTCCAAGGATGAAACGGTGACGTTTGCTCTGTATGGCGACGGTGCGGCCAATCAGGGCCAGTTGTTCGAGGCGCTTAATATTTCTGCGCTTTGGGATCTGCCTGCCATTTTGGTCTGTGAGAATAATCACTGTAAGTAGTGGAAGAATTGTTTCTTCTTGGGCTTTTTAATGATAAGAAACAAAATTAATTACACATTTTGAATGATTTGGGCGTGCGTTTGACACAGATGGAATGGGTACGGCAGAGTGGAGAGCCGCGAAGAGTCCATCATACTACAAGCGTGGAGATTATGTTCCTGGCTTGAAGGTCGGGTACAATCTTGTTTGTTGCATTTCATTGGTTACCGCTTATGTATTTGCTTTGAAGTTTAGCTACGTTAAGAAATGACGGTTGTGTGATTGGTAAAAACATGGTAGCTGTATCCACTGAATCGATTCTATCGCTCGAATTATAATGGTAGAAACATTATAGGTGATAATTTCTAGTATTAATTTGTTTTCATTTGGCTAATGGTTTGTGATCAATCTTCAGGTAGATGGCATGGATGTATTTGCCGTAAAGCAGGCATGCAAATTTGCTAAGGAGCATGCTTTGAAGAATGGACCCATTGTGAGTTATTTCTCCATTTGTTACTAATAGCAAATTATAGCAACAAGGATTGCCTTAACAAATCTTCTGTCGATTTGGCTCACAGTTCCACATATAAAAGAAAAACATGATTGTTGATAGGTAGGCCAAATGAATTTTTGCAGGCGATCTACTAATTGCATTGTGATTGCAATTGTATGCAGTTTATGCTATAGCTGCTAGAGTATGCTATTAGTATAGTAGATTGAAGCTACAATGAGAGATCAAGCGTGTGGTCTATGAATTAATCATGTCCCTAGGGAAATTCTCTTAGCTCTATTCCAGGGGCAGTTCTGACAGTAATTGTTTGAGCTATTCTCTTAGTTCTAGGAATTGCAACTCTAATAGCACCCCTTCAGGAATTTGATACATGATCCTTTAGAATTCTAGTATAAACTTGGGTATACAGTTGTATGGACCCTAGTAGTTTGTTGGGTAAGCAATGCAGTTGCTATTTCAAGAGTTGCCTTTGCAGCATTTGTATGCCATCTGTGAAAGGAAAGAGAAATAGAATGCTTTGCAAATGACAAAGGATGTGAAATTTTGGTCCAAGTATTAGACTAAATGGAATAAAAAAATTCCCTTTTTTCAATTCAACATCATTGCGGTAGTTAAGAGAAGCACGATGTGGTTCATTGATGAATACCTTCGTTCAGACCCAGGCTGTAGGTTAGATCAAGTTTTTAGCCCTTCAGGATTACTTGGGCCCTTTGAAATGGTCTGGTTATGTGTGATATGTGAAGTCATGCGAGATTTTTCCAACTTTTCTGGCTCTGACTTGCAGACTTGTTATAATTGTGTAATTTGTTGTCGCTCTACATGATACTTATTGCCTGACAAGTCTTCTTGCTTCTGGTGGTCAGATTCTTGAAATGGACACTTATAGGTACCATGGGCACTCCATGTCTGATCCTGGGAGCACCTACCGTACACGTGATGAGATTTCTGGCGTGAGACAGGTTTGTTATGTGTTCCAAACCTTGTTCCCTTTCCTTATTTTGGAGATTATGCCACAATTTCATAAAGGTCTCTTTTTATAATTTTACTTGGTTATATGATTTAGGAGCGTGACCCAATTGAAAGAATAAGGAAGCTGATATTTGCTCACGATCTAGCAACTGAGAAGGAGCTAAAGGTATATTCTTCAACTAGGGTGGTTTCTGTATTGTATCTATCTACTGTCATTTCTATTTTGTTGAATAATTATTTTCATAACTGAGGGAAAATTTTAGAATATGGTCTCATTCCTGTCTCTCTTATTGATGCTGTGGGGGTCTGAGAAAACTGATATGTATTTATCCTTTTCTTTTCTTTTCTTTTCTTTCAGGATATTGAGAAGGAAGTGAGGAAAGAAGTCGATGAAGCCATTGCTAAAGCCAAAGTAAGAAGCTTTATGTGGTGGTCATTTGATTTCATAAACTCTCTTTTTATTTTTGTAAATTTTAACTGAATGCATGTAGCCATCTAACCCCTCTTTAGCTTTTACAATAGGTATTGTGACTGGATATTGTTCAGTGACCCTGTTTTTGATATTTGTTGTTCCTGTTTCCAGGAAAGCCCAATGCCAGAACCCTCCGAACTCTTCACAAATATCTATGTGAAAGGCTATGGGGCTGAGGTAATATTTGCTCCCTTGTGTACAGCAACACAGACACGCACACGATGTTCATTATCTATGTTGTATCACTATGGGCAGTAAACAGAAGCTTCTGTCTTCTTTAGTTACTGCCTGTAGAGACTACTGCTTTGGATGGGTATCTGATGCTAACCAATACAAGTGTGATGATGTGTTACTTATATTTATAAATCATATCTTAAAAGTCTGGTATTAGTTTTCCCTGGGCCTGGGTATAAAAGAATTTTGATCATCTATGTCCAACATCTATTAGGTGAAAGCGAGATCATGATCATTGGAGCAGTATAGATTACATTCCTGCAAATTATAGAAATTGGAATCGTAACATAAGAAACTTAAAAAGCTTTTGCAATTTGTTCTCCTTTTTGTAACTGGTAAAAAACTTGAGAAAAGTTTTCATCCAGAAGTTATGCATTGAAATTGTAACCATATCTTAGATGATGTACTTGGTGAGAGTAAAGATAACTTCATCGGATCTAGCCTGCATTTGCTTCCTCTGTTTAGATTCTGCAAATGTTATGGTTGACGTGCTAAAAAGAAATACATATAATAGGTCAAGTTGTGTGCCGGTTTTTGGTTGTGAAAACCTGACAAAACTAACCCCACCCACATATGTATTGTAAAATAGTCATCTGTCCACATGGACATGGTTTTGAAAGGATAAATTCTGGCTTGTCCCTTTATTTACCCCTGTTTTCTCAAGAACCGTTCTCTCTGTGATCCCTCTCTCTCACCCTCCCCAACAAATTTTCAAGAAGTTGAGGGTATGCTTTGAAAGACTGATCAAATGACTCTACAATAAAGAAAATAGACATAACAAAGATAATTGCTATTCTTTTGGGTGACTTCAAGTTTATTGAATGGTGGGTCAGGTCAAGATTAGTATTTTTACGGCAGATTTAAAATTTCCTTGGCTTGGTAGCTGATTGGTATCACTTGATTAGGGTGCATGATGTATTGCTTACTCTACTAATTCTTTCTTTCCCACTGGAAGATTTTCTTACTTTCTTCCTTACCGCAGTTGCAGCTAAATTCTCACATGTAATGCGGTCACTTGGATGTATTGCTTACTCAACTACTTTTTTCTTTCTCACTGATAAATGTTTTATTGCAGTCATTTGGAGCAGATAGGAAAGAAGTCAGAACTGTGCTTCCATGAATCTAGAGTGGAAAGTTGCCGATGACCAATGACTGTTCCCTCCCTCAAACCTGAAGGTCCCCTTGTTCTCATAAATGAACCACACCTTCCAATTTCCTGGAAAAGAAAAAAAAACAATAAATGGTTCGATTTAAGATGGCCATCCCTTCCCGGCTATATATTTTGATGTTCACCTTCTTTTTTGTATAGGATTTTGATTCTTCTCACAAGTATTCAGAGGCTGACTCGTTGCGTGCAAGCAATGTAGTTGATCTCGAGACTTTTGAGGTTTATGAAAATATTACCCAGTTGCTCATGGGAAATCTGCATGTTTTCCCACAGTTATGTTTCTGCTCAATGCCGTTGGTTGTTGGATGTCTTTTTGACATTTGATTTCTTGTTTCTCCCAGTTGTAATTGAAGCTTATTAACTGGCGTTACATGCCGTACAATTATTGGATTAGGTTTTTGCAGGGCAGTTTTGTTTACTTTCAAAGTTTTGTTCATCTCATTTCCACCTGCTCTTGAGTTACAACTACATTGCTTATGGTTGGAGTGGACTAAAAAAGTTCAAAATTATTTTCTTAAATCTAAAATCACAACAAATTGTTCGTAAGAAGATGGTTTGCTAAGTAATATCTGATTATATTGGTCATTTCGTTTTTTTTTTAAAACTTTTTAAAAGTCGCCTACGTGATGCTTGATCATCCAATTAATTCCCAGTTTATTTTCTTGAGATCTTTGTTATTATTATTATTATTATTTTGGGTTGAGGATTTGATAAATGATCTTGGGCAGTCGAACCTTACACGTGCATTGAGATACATACCCTCTCTCTTGTGTTGTGCGTATTATATCGACGGTGGTCCAAAAGGCACCAGCACACAACAATAAGGCCACACCGAATTGAAATCACAAGAAGAAGACCACTGCCGTGCACCAGAAACGAAAGTAACACCATTTTTGCAGCGGTTGCCACTTGTTCATGCCAAATTGAAAGATCTCAAGTCCTTTACGTAACAACAAACAAATGGATCCCCCGATATGAATGAAATCTGTGAACTCAATCTCTCTCTCTCTCTCTCTCTCAAGAAAGAAAGAAAGAAAGAAGGAAAGAAAGAGCAGAGCATGAAACACGCTTGTTTCACGGGCGAGCAAGAAAAAAACATTTACAAATATTTTTTATTCTTTCTTTGTCTGGTGAGGAATGACGATGGCTTTGTTTGCATTGCATATATCCACGTGGTAGATTGAAAAAGTCACATGTGATGTGAATGTATACAAACGGCACCGTTCGTCTGTCCAAGTTCCAACTCCTGGTGGTGTGTGGTTGTTGCATCATTCAATTGTGGTTGAGTGCTGTGGCCACCGTCAGAGGCTCAGAGTATCCAATGCAATCCCCCACTTTTGCCACCAAACTTCCCCACCTTCCATTTTTCTTTAATCTTTAATTAATTCACTTAAAAACCTACCTCCCGCACGTGCACTCCATTATCCTTTCATTTCATCCACTCTACTGTAGTACACCAATCCTGACCGTCTGATTTGGCTTTCTAGATCATCAATCGTGTAACCAAAGCAGACATTCCCCTTCTGGATAATATTGGAGTTTGCAGGGTCCAGCAGCAGCAGCTAATTGTGATTTGTTATGACACTAATTTTTGTTTTATCTTGAGTTGAGAGAGAGAGAGGAGAATCCCATTCCAAAACCACAACCTCATCACTTTAGGCAAACCTTTATTAGGTAAAAGCATATTTTCAAAAGCTTTCTGGATTTGTTTTGTTAAAATGACAGTTAAAACTGTTACTCGTACTAAAACCCTCAAAACACAAACCAAACCAAAAAATAAAAAATACTGTTTTTCTAGAAAACAAATTAGCTTTTGATAAGTTATTAATTAGCCAGGACAGGAGGAGGAGTTTGTAAACTTGTGTGGGTTTAAATGAATTTAATTAAAACAAGTTGGATGGTTCCCGGAATCTCAATCAACCTAATTCCAATATTTAAATTCTTAATCCTTTTTTTAACCACCCGACTCCATATTTAAATTACAAATACCTGTTGTCGTGCATGATAAAATAGTATGACTCCCATCAGAAAGTGTTGATTGGGTAGGCCATATTATTCTCCTTTTTATTATTATTTAAATTTTGATGGACAGCTTTATGATTGAAGAGTTCACGGACAATTATATATATACATAACGAACTTGCGATTCAATGGATTATGAATATGACTTCATACCACCCTAAGGCTTTGGGAGTATTTTTGCTCACCACTTTAACTATAGGTATACCCTCATCACCATCCTCAATGCTTGACACGTGTCCATAGGTATAATCATGATTCCATAAATACAAAGCAAAAGTTAACTATGGTTATGTCTATGAATACGTGTCAAGTATTGAGGATGGTGGTGAGGGTACACTTATAGTTAAAGTGGTGAGCAAAAATGCACCAAAGGCGTTTTTGTATTTTATATTTTGATATAAATTTATACAATTAAGACGTTACCACGTTAAAAATATTTTTTCATTTTTGACGTTATAGGTGAAGTGCTTGATTGTAAGCGATATGTCAAACTGTATGATACGATAGTATTAGGGCAACGACTTTGAAGATACAAAAAGACTTAATTTGTACGAACATATAGAAATCCAAGTATCGTTCTGTTTACAAAGCAAGTTATAATATTGGACGAGCCGGCGCCATACATATTACAAAATATGAATCAATTGATTGTGTTTCTTGCTTGTATAGTAGGGCAGTATTACGTCAGTTTGAACCAAATGCTTAGTCGTTAAGTATGGTTTTAACTTTTAAGCATGGCATCATCTTTTTTGATTGAATTTCCTGGTTTCTTCTTTGAGCAGCACAAGCAATGCTTTTTGACACGAATAAAGAACAAATCCATGGAAATAAATAATTATTTGGGTTGAAATTGAAAGTGAAATAAAAGTAAAGAATTGATACAATAATTGTTGGAGACGGAATCTTCTAGAGCAACACAAGCAAAGAATTGTCTAATTCTTGGCGTCCACTCAACTAAGTAAAGAAGTTACTTATTTTGGCCGTCGACTTTGGTGTTTCTAATAATTAGCATATCTGAATTGGTCCAATTAGACCAATTTTCTCTCTTCTAAATCATGTCATTTCTGTCTTAATTTTGTACATAAAAGTGATTAATATATTGCTTTTTCTCGAATGGCATGTCACACCCTCTTATAGAAAAAATGTATTTGTCATGTGTCGGTAATTCATAACATATAATTAATATCTGTCAATTTAGTGATAAGCAGTCATAAAGGCTAACAAATCATCTCATTCCAGCTAACTATTTAAAAAGTATTAAATATTAAAGAGGAAATTTGTACTTGGAAATGTCACATCATACTTGGCATGCATTCATTTGTCACTATATCATATGTATTTGATTGAGGTATAATTTATACTCTATAGAATCTGTCGTCTATATAAATAAATAAATAAATTAAAATATATAGACCAATGTTAGCGATCTGTTGCCATCGAAAAATAAATAAATAAATAAGTTAAAGAATATGTAGGATGCATGAAAATGATGTTTGATGTGGTCTTCTGTTGACTAGGTAAAAATGCAGGTCATTGATAATGGTAGGTGGAAATTATTAATCACACCTTAGGTTCATGAATAAAACAAAGGGTACAGGTTTTAGTGCAGAGATGCTAGACATTGTCAAATTATAATATTAATTATTTATTACGTGAAATATATAATCGACCAACATAACACGTTAGACGTGAATTATCCTTCACAAATTTTAGAGAGGAATTGTAAAAATACAACTCTAACCATGCTCCATATTTACCTCCTAAAATAGGGAGACCTCTAGGAGTTCCTAAATTTGAGGAGAGATAAAGGACTCATAGTGGCTTTCTATAATTTAATGTTGCTTTATTTAATGAGTATTTCAAACCTTTATTTAATGCTAACCATTTTTTATTTTATTTTTTAATAGAGATAGACTAATAAAAAAAGAGTTATAGCATTTATGACTCCCTAAATTAGAGAGCATGACTGAAGTTTAAATTTTATAAAGAGCTTCTAAAATAACTTTTATATGTTTTTAGCTAAAATTTAACTAAAAAATAGAGAGCATAATTGTGTATGCTCTAATGTGAAAAAATATAACATACCATATCGTTAGGGAAATTTTATTTTAATCACAATACCGTTTGAAAATTAAATATAATTTGACTATATATATATATATATATATATATTTGCGTGCGTTTAATAAAACGAAAAAACGGAGAAACAGAAACTGCACTTGTAGTTGTTACTTATTATTAGGCAGTGGAGAACTTGGGAGCACGTGGGGGCACGTGGGGCATAAGCGAAAGAGCAGAGGCAGAGAAGAGATGCTTATTGCCAGCCGCCAACAGCATCAGTAAACAGCTGGCATTTGGTTAGTGGAGGCGAAGAATATAAAGCTTTGTCCCAAATTTGCCACAACAAAAAAAGGGACGTGATTGCCTCGCCCATGTTGCTGAGCTGTCTTTTGCTGCTTTCTCTGACCTGGCACTTCGTTTCTATCTTTCTTTTCGTACTTTTTTTGTTTACAAGGTATTTTCTCCTTCGCTTAGTTGTCAAGTAAATAAATATAATATAATATCAACTAGTCTTTCGTATAGTGGTATTTCTTTACATTTAGTTGGACGAAGTCTCATATTCAACTCACATAAATATCAATAACGGTACACATTCGTAATGACTTTAATGGCAAGTTGGTTTTTGCTAGTCTTATTGTGAGTGTATGAATTTATTTAAAAAAAGAAGAATAATCTTTAAAATTAATGTACAGTTGTCCACACGATCAATCTGTAAATGAATGAGAATTAAGGCTTGTTTGGTGGTGACAAGGAAAACACTTGTGATTCCGGAGATGCGGTAGGAGAGAGAGAGAGAGAGAGAGAGTTAAATGAGTATTAATTTTGACATTGAAGTTTTCAGTAATGCATTAATGAAATCAATCTGTATCCCTTTATTTGTTAAATTTAGTTTTTATTTATTTATATTTAGCATCCCCATTAATATTAAATCAAAACCCCAACCCCTTGTTCTTCTTCTGTAAATTGGAACAAAACTGAGCGTTGTTAGACATAAATGCAAATTAATTTCATTAGGGCAACCCTAATCCTAATTTGGAAGTTTACTTTCATCATTTATGCACACACTTTTCCAAATAATTTCCATGTACGTACGGTGCTATTGTTACCTAATTTAACCCAGTTACAAATATTCCCAGAATACCTTTTATTTAGTGGATAGCTTTGATCTCATAACCATTTTTAAAAATTATTTTTTGATTTTTGATTCAAGGATAGAATTGTATAAAGATTGAATAATAATAATATTAAATAAAATTGTAATTATGAATTTTTTAAATAATGGATAATCTTTAGCATCATTAATATAGAGTTTCGACGTCGTTTTTTTAAAACCAGAAATCTATATTATATAGGTATAGCAGCGGTTTGAGAGTCCAATCATGGGAAAAAAAAACACACAGAGAGAAAAACGGAGAGAGGAGGAGATGCTTCCTTCCTCCTTCTCGAACCCGTTCTTCTGTCTCTGTTTCCGCGTTTCGTTTTTTTCTTTCGAAACGCATTTTTGCAACAAAAAGCGTGTCTGGCTTTTTTCTTTCCTTTTTTGTTTGTTTTTTTTCCTTATTTTCCACATTATGATTTGATTGCATTTGACCTTTCTTATTTATTATTTGCTTTGCTTAATTAGTTAATGTACAAATGGCAAATCTCCACAACCGTCTCTTTCCTCTCTCTCTATAATAACTATCTCCACACCCAGACACCCAGACACACACACACACCCACCCACCCCACCATTGCTGTTACAACATTCATTTTCTCCACCCAAAAAAGAAAAAAGAAAAAGAAAAAGGAAAAAGAAGAAGAAGAAGAAAACACAACAAACAAATCCCATTTCTCCTCCCAAAGCGGCGAGCAATGCTCCCATTCCGGCTATACGCCGCCGTTTTGTTCGTCCTCAGTATCTCCCTCCTCTTCCCTCCGTTCTGCATCGGGATTCGCTCCTTCCCGACCAGGGCGATCGACGGCGGAGATGCCTTCGAACTCGCCTCCGCCGCCTGGGCGCGATTCTCTGAGGCGCCGGACTACCGTAACGGAGCAGACTGCGCCGTTTCGATGAACAAGGAAATGGTGTCCTCCTGCGACCCTTCCCTGGTCCACATCGCCATGACTCTCGATTCTGAGTATCTCAGAGGCTCCGTAGCTGCCGTACACTCGGTTCTCAAGCACGCTTCTTGCCCCGAGAACGTCTTCTTCCACTTCATCGCCGCCGAGTTCGACCCGGCGAGTCCACGGGTCCTGACCCAACTCGTCCGATCCACCTTCCCCTCCCTCAATTTCAAGGTCTACATCTTCCGGGAAGACACCGTCATTAATCTCATCTCGTCTTCGATTCGGCAGGCGCTCGAGAACCCGCTCAACTACGCCAGAAATTACCTGGGCGATATTTTGGGACGGTGCGTGGACCGGGTCATTTACTTGGACTCGGATGTGCTGGTGGTCGACGACATTCACAAGCTCTGGAACATTTCGCTCTCCGGGTCGCGGGTCATCGGAGCCCCGGAGTACTGCCACGCCAACTTCACTAAGTATTTCACCGACGGGTTCTGGTCCGACCCGGTTCTTTCCCGGGTCTTTTCCTCAAGAAAGCCCTGCTACTTCAACACTGGGGTGATGGTGATGGACTTGGTGAGGTGGAGACAGGGAAATTACAGAAAGAGGATTGAGAACTGGATGGAGTTGCAGAGAAAGAGAAGGATTTACGATTTGGGTTCTTTGCCACCATTTTTGCTGGTTTTTGCCGGGAACGTGGAGGCCATAGACCACAGGTGGAACCAGCACGGGCTTGGTGGCGACAATGTCAGAGGGAGCTGCAGGTCTCTTCACCCTGGTCCAGTGAGTTTGCTACATTGGAGTGGCAAAGGCAAGCCTTGGGTTAGGCTTGAATCCAAGAACCCTTGTCCGCTTGACCATCTTTGGGAGCCTTATGATCTTTACAAGCCACTCCGTCATTACAACGCAGCAAAGTTCCAAGCTTTATCGTCGATTTCTGGTTCTACATTGATTGGGTTTTCCAGCTATTTGTCATGAGGCGGGGTTATGATTCTTTCATACATTGTTCAGAGATTCTATTCTTTTGATAGCCATAGGGCCAGCCATGTACAGATTGGTTGAATTTTAGGTGAAATTGTTGGAGAAAATTCATGGGTCTTCTTCTTCACTGGGTATGAGACAGATTCAATTCAATTCCTATTTTGAAGGTTCCAATTCTTTGGAACCATTTTGGCGATTGAATGATTTCTTTGTATGTAATCTGGGTCTCAAGAGGGAGGAATATCATACACTTGTTCTTGCTTCTTTCATGTCAAGTTCCATTATTTTATTTTTGTTCATCTTAATTATTTACAGGCTGTGTGTTTTGGTGTATGCTCTTCTTCCCTTTCACTGACTCGCCATTATTGCAAATTTGAAAGTGACCCCAAGAAAATGAATGACAATGAAGAAGATAGTAAAAATGTGGACTGTGAATGGGTTCACGGACCTTTCTTGGCTGGGAGCGTCACAGCCTGACACAACACAAAACTCTGTTATTTTCAACCCAATTATAATTCCAATTTTTATATAGTTTGTATTTGTACAACTCATAATTTTAATTTAAAGATGATATATGGGACCTGGGAGTAGGAGAGGAGGAGGAGCTTTTAAACTCATTCGGTTTTCTGGTGGAAGATGTGCGTCAACAAAAGATATTAAAATGGGTGGTTTGGGAGGCTTTTGCAAATTTGTGTACCACGTATTCAGATCATGATGCCGAGAGAGAGAGACGCCAATAAGCTACTGCCAAATTCCCTAAATTTCCTAGGAACATCGTTAGTTGAGGCTTCTATTCTTCAAATTGGACTTTTTCCATCCAACTCTTTTAGCTTTACAAAATCAAACTTGCTTCAAGGTTTAGGGTTTTGTCAACGAGGTCTAGCTCATTTAAATAAAAACGACCTTTTAGTATGTTTGAGAAATTCCTCCCTCCTTTTATACTTTAGACTATAACTTATTTAAATAAAAATAAAAAATCAAACTTGGTTCATAAAGAAAGATTGACCTTTTTACTGCTAAGAATCATGTTATTACCAGAAAGTTTCTTTTTACCCAAGTTAATTTTGCAAGTGACTGACTGACTGACTGACAAGTGCTGACAAAAATGTAGTTGCTTTGTGATGATGGGTACCAAACATAGGGGAAAAGAAGCTCTTTCTTGTTTTCGTGCCAGCGAAGAGGTGCACAATAAAACCAATTGTTTTGTTTTCACTGCAATTGCAACTTGCACTGAGTAAATGAGCTGGGATCCAATCACTTTATTCTTTCAATTTCTACACATGCTTCATATTTTCCATCAATTATATATATATATATATATGTGGACTGAAAAACAATGCTTATGTATTGTTTCTTCAAACAATTACAATATATTATATAGTAGGCATATATGTGACCGTTGGCATGTGTATTTATGTGAAAACCTAAGCTAAACTTTCCACTTTCCACTTTCCACTTTCCTCGCAGCCATATATGCAAACGCAACATGTACAATATATAATAATTCAACCTCCCAAGTTCCTTCGAATCCTGTCAACATCCAGGTCACTAATTTGAAAAGCTTTCTTCAATATCTCAACTGGGATTGAAGGCTTTGAAGTGAAGGTGGCAAGTGAAACAATCTGTACACCAGGGTTCTGGCTACTGAACCCGGCCAAGACCAGTGCTCGGTTCACGGAGTCGTAGTTGTACACAAAATGAATGAGGCCCTTTGGGAACACATATGACTCACCAGGCTTTAGTTGCTGGGTAAACACACGGTTGGAGCTGTCCACAAAGCCCACAAGAAGGAGCCCTTTGAGGCAGATTGCGACTTCTGAAGCCCTTGGGTGCAAATGTGGAGGCACCATCCCATTAGCCGCTATGTCAACCCGGGCCAGGGTCAGGCCCAATGTGTTGACCCCGGGTAGGTTAAGCGTGTTTGTTAGGGTGGCGTTGAACCCGAAAGGGTTTGCTTTTGGGTTGCCTGGCTTGGATAGGGCAGATGTGGTGAAATGGGATGAGGCTGCTAGCTCTGGATTAATGCAGGGTGCACCATTGAGGTAAAATGACTGGGGAATTTTTGTATCTGCTACGCAGTAATCCTGAAGCGGATCCGGGTCGGGTTTGCCCTGGCCCAATAGAAGAGCTAGGGTGAGAAATAATTGGACAAAGGAAGAATTGATTCTCATTTTGGCTGTGTGGTTTCCAGTAAGAACAGTTTGGAGCAATATATATAGAGAAAATGTGCGGACAATGATGCTTAGCAAAATTAGTGGTTAATTGGGGGGAAGATGATTGAGTAGCTTAGAGGGCAATAGAGGAGGAAAATACAAGGCAAGTTAAAGAAGAGATAAAGCCCAGAAAGGCTCAATCATGCAGATTGTTGTGATTTTGCTGTCAGTAGGTTCGTTGGGCTTGCCACTTGGCCCCATTTGTTCACCAGTTGTCTCTTCAAACGACGTCGTTTTACTCTTGTTTTGTGCATTGTCCTCTTTGTATAGTTTGGTTCAACCAATTGAAAATTGAATGGGGGTAGGGACCACGTGCAGCCCATGTAGCTAAGATAATTATTAATTTTAGATCTTTAGATTAGAGGCTTGGAAACCTGTCACATGTAACTTTCACTATCATGTCTTTGTTTACTGCAGTGCACTCTAAAGTGGTCCATCTACCATATTTTCATGACTGATCTGATCACTGTCTTCAACTTCTTGGTGTCTCTCTGAAGCCCTGAAAGGAGAAATTTCCACAGGTATCATCATTAGTACTTTTTTCCCACCAAAAAAATATTATCAGTATTAATCTTTGTTTATTCAATATGGCCACTCTAATTTGTTGTTGAACCCTCATAATAACCCAACTAATCTCTATTTTCCTATTAATTATACTTCCATTTTGACATTATGTGCTGTGTGTTTTTGATTTCCAAATTTCCAGTCATCAATTCATCATGTACTTGAGACTGAGAAAGAGAAAGTCCTTAACCGTTTAACCTTTTCATTTCAGAATGGTGCAAGTGAAAGCCAAATCTTTTTTGGAAACATATTGTGGGTCATCTCCAGCTTTGAGCTTTTAGCTTTCTTTTTTAATTTTCTCTCATACAATTGTCTTGTTTTGATGATTGATTGGCTTTATCATTGTAGGAGTTCCCAGAAGTGCTAGAAACAGTGGAAAAGGTGAAGTGATAATGCTACTCTAGAAAAGGAGCAGAGGAGAACACATGGACATGTTTTTTTGTTTTTTTATTTATTTATAAAATTCTTTTCTTCTTGCAATTTTAAAGTCTTTTTCTTTTTGTCCCCATTCTGGTTTTTCTTACTCTTGGTATATTTTTCTTGCGTGATCCAATAGATTGGTGATATGCCCCCATGCTAGTCAAAGCCCCACAGTTTGTGTCCTGCTGTGTAGCTCTCTGGTAGCTCAACATTTGAACCCCTTCCTTGCAGAGCTAATGGGTGAATCAATAGTAGATTTCGCAAATGATGCTGATGAGGTACACTTTTTTGTCCCTAGATTTGATAAAAAAAGCGACCCATCTGTATAATTTGTTTGCAATTATTGTCTTTTGAGCCCTATGTTTTGTGGGTTGCTGATTGATTCAAAATATATGATTGCTAGATTTGCTAGTTCGTTGTCACTCTGTTCTTGCTTCAGAATATGCTTTTGGATTTTTGGTTTTTTCTGTTGAATAAAACAGGTGGGAGAGGCAGCTGCTTCAAATTCTTCAAATCCTGATCTGGAAGTGTCGGTTTCGTTCGGTAGGTTCGAGAATGATTCACTGTCTTGGGAGAAATGGTCAACATTCTCACCAAACAAGTACTTGGAAGAAGTTGAGAAGTGTGCTACACCTGGTTCAGTGGCTCAGAAAAGGGCCTATTTTGAAGCCCATTACAAGAAGATAGCTGCTAGGAAAGCTGAGGAGCTTCTGGAGCAAGAGAAGCAAATGCAAGATGATCCCTTTATGTCAGATGATCAGAAGGGTGGAGATCAGATCGATTGCGGGACACATTTTGAAATTGATTTAACTAACAGTCAAAGTACTGCCCAAGCAAATTATCAAGAAGCCAATTTTGACAATGAGACAATTAGTACTCATGTGGATGATCTCAAGGAGGATGATGTTATCACCATAGAATGTCAAAGCTCATTGACTGAGGGAGAGAAAGAAGAAACTGATAGCGTTACGGCAAGTCCCAACTTGAAAAATCCGGAGGAACTTGTTTTGGAGAAAGAAGCAGAGAATGTCCCTGCTGAGTCTCAAGGGATACAGGAAATTCCAAAGAGTTTGGACAATGAAATGGGAAAGGCTCCAGAAGTTAAAGAGGAAAAAGAGGAAAAACCAAGATTGCATCTTCAGAAGGGATCTCAGAAGGTGAAGTAATTATTTCTTTAATCTATTTAGGAAAACTTATCTGCAGATACCGTGTTCTATATCTCATAATCTCAAAACTTGTTTGGTTGAAGTCTGATGTCTTATATCTTTTGCATTTTTCTGTTTTATAGGTTACTACTGGAGTGAGCAAGGAGAGAAATGTGGCAAATGTTAAGAAGAAACCAATTCCACAAATAACTAAAACACCACAGAAATCCACCCCTAGAGTGTCAAAGCCTATATCAACTTCCACCCCTAAAGTGTCAAAGCCTATATCAACTTCCACCCCTAGAGTGTCAAAGCCTATATCAACTTCCACCCCTAGAGTGTCAAAGCCTATATCAACTTCCACTCCTAGAGTGTCAAAGCCTACATATTCTTCCACCCCCAGAGCGTCAAAGTCTTTATCAACTTCTATTGCAACACCTGCACCACGATCCTCAGTAAAAAAGGGCAACACTTCATCTTTAACTAGGAGCAAAAATCCTTCCAGTGAGGACACCAAGAAAGTTCCTCCTAAGTCTTTGCACATGTCACTTAGTTTGGATCCGGCAAAGTCTGATTCAGCTTCACCGACAACCACCAGAAAATCTTTCATTATGGAGAATATGGGAGATAAGGACATTGTCAGACGAGCATTTAGGACATTTCAAAACAATTACAACCAACCGAAATCCTCCAGTGAAGAGAAATCTTCAACACCAACGCAGGTTTGTCATTTAAGTACGTTTTATTGTTTGAAGAAATGACCAGCTACCTTAGTGTTTTTCTTTTTATTTTATATATAGGTTTTGCATTAGCGTGTCTAACATCAAAGTTTTATTTGTGGAAATTTCATTATCAAGCAGCTCTCTACGAAGGGGAAAGAATCAAGGGTTTCCACTTCAGTGCTCCTGCCAAAAGAGAATGGAGGGTAATGTCTTATACTCACATTTGACTGCCATCAGATGTATTTATAATATACATCCTCTGTGCATCTGATACTTGCATAATATCACTCTTTGCATGTTATACGCTATCTTATTTCACATTGTGGATTTAAACTTTATTTGGTGTCTGAATTACTTTATTTGCATTAAATTTTTCCGTCATAGGTCTCTAGGAAAAGGAACGCCTAAGGCTGCTCCATCATCTTTTGGTTTGAGAAATGATGAAAGAGCAGATAAAAGAAAGGAGGCAAAATCCAATCCCAAAGAGGCAGAGAGATTGCACTTCCAACCAAAGTCAAAGGTATATCTTACAAATAACTATTCTTTTGAGGAGCATATTAGCCTATGACTGTTGCTATATAACTCATCAGAAATACAATTATATCATAAGTACTACAAAAGTTGAAAATGTTATTTCTAAGAACTGTATGCTTGCCACAGGGTCAAAACGAAGCAGAGATAAAAAAGCTGAGACATAGTCTTAATTTTAAGACTACTCCCACGCCAGGTTCTTACCGCGGACAAAAAATGTCAAAAAGTACTTCAGAAAAGGTATAGCGTAATTGTGGTTTTATCTTATGGCATAAGATAATTTGTTCCATTTTGTAAATTTTGAGTAGATCCATGATATGCAATCCATCTATACTTAGAAATCATTCTTTCGCAAAGTTCCTCGTGTCACAAATGAGCTTTCATGTCTAACTTAAGCTAGGTTTAGGGGCTTGCTTTGCATTAAAGTATAAAGCCTCCCATTTGTTGAGCCCTTCAGAACAAGTATAAAAACTAAAGGTTGTTATGCATATGCAAGAATATAATAAGTTTAACACATTCAATGCATGTGTGCAAGAAGGAAAGATGCATGTATGCCTTAACACAAGCTTTTCAATCTGTATAATGAGTTACTGCATTTCTGGAGCTATTTGTGTAGTTAATTCATTTTGAGGTTTTTTCTTTCCATAATTAATGTGAACTGTGATTATGGTATATGTAGGAAAGTTCCAAGAATGAAACCCATCGGTGACCGAATCTGCTAGGCTGAAACGTTACACATCATCTACAGTGAAACACATCTTCAGAGGCTAGCCTAGAGAAAATATGTGTAAGGAATTGGTTCTCATCAAGGGTACATGCAATATTATTGCTTAGCTGATGACAACATGATCATGATGAGTGAAAAACTGTATATCTCGATGGCTAGACAAGACCTAGTAGACCTACCTTTGCTGCCATTCGTTGCCAAATTAGTCTTCTTACTCTACTTATCCCAAATAGTTATCAGAATTAGAATATGTTATGTACACATCGTTGTACTTATTGCCTATGAAAAGATGTTACTGTGGGAAATATTAAAATTACATGGAGATCTTATAGTTGGTTAGAGAAATCTGGACAGTATATGATTACAACATAATCTCAGACCAAAGAATAATTGAAAGAATAAATATTTGTGGATCAAACGCGTGTAGGCATTACTGGGAAAGACAGAAGAAGACCAACACTACGAGCTATTGACTGAAAGTTTGTAAAGGTTTTGAATACACTTGAAACTTTGAAAAATCACTCAGCTATATACTGATTGTAATTGTGCCTTTTGAAATCTATATACATTTTAAAATCCAATTCAGAAATCATTATCTGAGTCACTGTTAGTGCTCCTAGAATTTCCTGACATGAAATTTTTAGGCAAGATTGGGAACCTTACGGGGTTCCTTGGTGGTGAGTTTGCTGATGATGTTCCTAAACTTGTTGTCACCGTCTTCCTCTTCTGTATATTTCGAGAAATTTCGACACATGCTTGATCCACCATGCCTAGAAAATCTTTAACTATGACAAATAGTTGAAATGAGTGTGCCCCTTTATCCTTAGAAGCCCCTGATTGATAATATTCTGTTGTTTTCTTTACTAACTCCATCACACTTTTCTGCTGTTCTCTCACCACCGTTAGCTCTTCTTCGGCTGCTTGAAGAAAAGCCTTCATTTCTCTTACAAATCTTCCACCACCATTGTTCTCACATTGGATTACAAGTTCTCTAATTTCTGCCACACGGGTTGTGAGAGCTGAGCATGTCCCTGCAAAGCTGTCATAATCTGTAGCAGCTGCCTTCCTCACATTAGAGAACTCAGCACTGATTCCTCCAACCATAGGCAATCCTAACATCATATACTCTTTCTCTCTGTCCTCTTTTGGTTTTAGATTCTCAGAACTTAAGTTTCTGTTATGGCTCTGGCTGCTGCTCCGACTCAAGCTATGATTTGTGTTGATAACACACCGTTTCCCCTCAGACCGAACTACTTCTTCCACAACAAAATGAAGAAGAGTAGTTTTCCCATCACTGCTCCTAACGTCGGATAGCTTTCGAAGAGAACTGAGGTTGAAAGCTTGTGCATTTCCTCTTGAAGTTCCTGCATTCATGCGATTTCCAGCCTTGAGAATTGCCTCTAGCAGTTTCATAAACAGTCCTCGTGTTCGAAGTTCCTTGCATCCTGGTTCAAGTGTTTGTAAAGACTCCTTGAGGTTCAGAATCTCCAAGTCATAGTTGTATCTGAAGAGCATGGCATTAAGTCGAGTAAAAGCGGTTGGGACAGCTTTCAGAATGTGGTAAAGGAAGCATTCGGCATCGGCAAGCCTTGTGGGATCTCCACTGTACTCAAGGATTTGCGATTGTTCTTCTTCAGTTGGGGCAATTCTAGCAAGCTTTTCAAGAGTCTCTGCATTTAGACCTCTACCCTCCATGAGCACATCAAGGATTTCCTTGCGAGAAATGGTCAATGACTTTATAACAATTGCAATGTTCTGGGACTTCCTGGCATCTAGGATACAAATCTGTGATGATGGACCGACGTTGGTGCCTCTTGGGTTCACTTGGTTGCTGTCTCTTTTGGGGGATAACCGGTTGGTGGCAACATATCCAAAAAGAGCTTCCATAAGGTCACCATCAAATCTGAAAGTAGCAAGATTGTTAGTTTCAGAATATTCAAAAACAAATACAATTGGGGTAAGTGTTGCATATAAATCTTGGTAAAATTAAACTTTTATCATTACCTAAATGAACCATCAATCTTGTCCCAGACCATGGAATGCTGAGTATTATTAGTATTCACTTTGTCCCAATGCAGTGGCTTCAGTTTTACCTGACCATTTCCTGCTCCTGATGAAGACTCTGCTGGTTTACTATCACCCTCCATCCCTTGTGGCCCCGTAGACTGTTTTGACAAGGCGTTCAAACTACGTGCTTCAGGCTTTGGTGGTGGAGGAGGCGGCGGTGCAGAACTATTCTTAGCTGCAATTGTTGATGGTGGTGGAGGAGGTGGAGGTGCCACGGGGCTTTTCTTATTTGAAATTGGCAAAGGAGGCAGCAGAGGTGGTAGTGGCGGTGTTGGTGGTGGAGAAGGGGGAGGCGGAGGACTCGATGATCGAATAGTTAGCTCAACTTCTGGCTCTGATTTCTCAACAGCCTTGAGAGCCATTGATCTAATTCGATTCGGATCACTTACTTCTGATACATCATTGATGTGGGATGATGAAGACTTTCCTCTGAGCAGAGGAACTTCTTGTATAGGCTCATGCTTTCTCCTTCTAATCCCTTCAGCGTCATCATCATCATCATCATCACTATTAATTTCTTCTCCATTCTTGGGATTGCGCAAAACCTCCTTATTGAAACTCTTCTTTGAGTTTCTCTCTTCAAGCTTTCTCCAGTAAAGCACATCCAGGCCATTCTCATCAACAATGAACCCCTTAAGATTTCCATCATATCTTGCAAACTCATTGCGATCCACCACAGGAGGCTGAGGCCGGCCTCCTTGGGAACCTGTGCTACTAGTACCACTGCCACCACCATTAATCTTTCTTCTCCGCTTTGCAACCACGAACCGTTGGACTAAAAAGAAAACCAACCCAGAAACCACCAGAGTGCAAGCTGCAGTTGCACCCACTGCCTTTGCAATCAAACTCTTATTGGATGACGACTTTTGTGGCGCAGCTGGCAGCACTGGCTGTGGCTGCGCTTTTGGTTGTGTTGGCGGGGGGCCTTTCGGAGGCAATGAAGGAGAGATTGGAGCTGGAGCTGGAGCTGGAGTTAGAGCTGTAAATGGATAGAAAGTTTCAATATTTTGGCCATGACAGAGAGGAAGGACAAAAATACCATAAAAGCAAAAAACAAAGAACAAGTTGAGATTGAGAAGCAGCAGCTGCCATGGCTGCTGAATCATCACAGCCATGAAGCTTTTGGTGGGTTTGAAGAGATGGGATTATTGAAACTGAATCCGTTGGAAGCTTCTGTATTGTTTTTGTTGACATCGAATGAATGGAAGTTGTCTAAGTCTATGGCTTTGGATTTGTCGTGTGCTTTTTGGGGTTTGGTTGCTGAAAGCTTCAAAAATAGTTGTTAGTTGGTTGTCTCCAATTTTTACCTTCCCAGGCTTTTATAAATTCAACCACTCATAAGACCCTTCTAATTGGATTGAGTTCATATCCCACTAACTACAATCAAACGCTTTGTTAACACAAATATTGGATTTTTAATTCATATAATTAATTAAATAAATGATTAAAAAAAAAAAATTGGAGGGTGGTAGGTTTACTATTTCAAACACAAAATTGTGGACGTTTTGTTGAAGTGGTAAATCACCGAATTTTTTGTTGTTGATATAATAATGGAATTTAGAGAGAGAGAGAGAGAGAGAGAGAGAGAGAGTCCTGTAAATGGTAAATGAATGAACAAATTTTGAAAGTCAGAAGAGGGAAGACTTCCTCATCACCTTAATTTCAGGGCCTTAATAATTATAATTTTTACCAGTTGAGAAAGGGTTGGCCGTTCACGCGTTGGAAACCAATTGAAGCCAAAGACGTAATAATTGGTCAACGACCCCGTTTCATATTGAAGGGGAAGAAATCAAATGTAGGTTGATGATGACCTCAATGGATTTGGCCTACGATTTGGAGAAAAGTGGCTCACCAAATAAAAAAATTGTCTTTAACTGCTTGTATGTAGTGGTTGGAAGAAACCAGAAATTGATTACCAACCCGAAAAACCAAACAAGTGTAAAATTTGAAATCAAATAAAATATCTATGGGACCCTTTTAGCTCATATTTCTTAGAAAAAAAACCATAAAAACTTTGTATCTGAATGAATGGGTTCATCATTAACCCATAAATCAGTAATTTTGGTGATTGCATAATTGCATTGCATGGCAGTCACCAATTATAATTGCAATTATATGAAATTCCTTTTATGCCTTCCAAATCTTAAGCTATGATCTCAAATATTATCGTGGCAATTCTTCTCAATCTGAAGACATGGCATATTTTAAGTAAATAATTAAGATTATAAGAATTTTTTATGCCTATATAGTATATGATTTAAATATAGGAATCCATTTGAAGATTTTTTAACTGTTTATTGTCTTTAACTGGGGGTTGGGTTGGCTGGCTTACAATGCACGTTGTGGGTCTAAAAGTGGTTGGCCCATACCATACTCCATATTACAAATGTAGCATTTTGGTTGTAAGTTGCAACGGGGCTCAAAAGCTCATGAAGAAAATTTAAACTGCCTTTACTTACAGCATCACCAATGGGAAGGTGTAAAGGGGGATGACAAGCTCTTTTATATCTTGTGTTGTCGAAAATGGCTTCAATGGAGGGATGCAAAGAGATGTAAAAGTAGAACATCACCGGCAAATGTAAATAAAATGCTACATTTGCATTCATTTTTACATCTCCATATGTGGGATCCACTAGTGCAAAAGGAGGAGAGAGAGGGTTCTTTGGCATGGGTTGACAGGCGGCAAACCATATCCACGTAAGCAACACTCTTAAATATCAATTTATGATTTTTTTATTTAAATAAAAAAAAGCATTATAAAGAGTCTGCAGAACAAGGTATTGACTCATTTTGTAGTTCTTTGAGTCCTGCTATGGTTGAGGCTTTAATTTGTCCACAAAATTGGTTGAAGTCTGTAAGGGTCTTTTTCTTCCGGCAGCAAGTGAGCTGGGCTGATGAAATTGTCCCATTTGTCTGAGTTCGAAAATTAAACCCAAAAATGCTTCGAAAGGGCAGCGAGGCCTTAGGAAGTATTTTGGTTATCTTCACCAACTAAAATAGCAGCAGCTTGCAGATAATTTTTTCACATTTACAGATAAACTTCTGGGCTTGGCATGAAAGGCATGTGGCATGAGAGCAGAATTATCATGGGTTTAGCACTTTAGGAGAGAGAACGTGGGTTCCTATGAAGGTCAGAGATTAATATAATTTCTTCACATTTACAGATAAACTTTTGGACTTGGCGTGAGAGGCATGTGGCATGAGAGCAGAATTATCATGGGTTTAGCACTTTAGGAGAGAGAACGTGAGTTCCTATGAAGGTCAGAGGTTCTAATGGAAGAGAGGAGAGGTTCTAAGGAGGATTGGTGGAGAGTTTTGGGTGATTTTCGTAGCTTCCGGCAGCTTGACGGTGACTCTGTCAAAGCTTCTGTCAATCTGCCAAAACAGGGGGAATAAGGGAAAAATGGACGAGGATAGCACGAAAATTGCTGGGTTTTGCATGCAAGAGAGGAAGCTTGCTCTCTGAAGGTTGTGGGTTGTGTTGGGTAGAAGAGGCCCTATTTATAGTTGCTGGGGTTTGTTCTTCTCCAAGAAACCCTAATGGTTTCTTCCCAATCTAGCTAAGCTTTCCTCTTCCTTTCTTCTCCTCTTTCTTGACTTACTTCATGGTGGCAAAGTCAGCTCTGCCCAATCCCACAAAATCAGAGATTTTGGGTGCTCCAAGTTTCTTCCAGCGGCTGCCTCAGAGAGGAGCTTCCCTTTTTCACCCATCTTCTTTCTCCTCTTTCTTCCTCTTTCCATGGCCAAATCTGCTGAAGGAAAGAAAGTGAGTGCGCCTGCTGGTTTAAGGAATGACATCCTTCCTTGCGTGCTAATATCCCTTGGTTCCTTGAAGGATTTTTGCTTGGAACTTGCTCCCAAGCCTCCCAGCAGCCAATCACGTGTGGACTTTCCAAGCTCCTTCATGATTTTCTCTCCCAACTGAGTGCCAAGACTTGTGCTCCCTTTTTATTCTAATTACATAGGCTTTTTAAGTCCACCACATGATTCATCTAATGGATGGGATAATCTGATCAAGTGTTGGGCCTTTTAGTTGGCTTATCCTAATTGGGGCAATGGGCTATTTTGGTTGGGCTATTTTAGTTGGAGTAATGGGGCTATTTTCTCTCTTGTGCTTACCCATGTTTGGGCCTAAAAAATGGGCTTGAGTCCCGAGGCCCCCAAGCGACCCGAGACTTCCATTTCTCGACCCATCGATGGGCCCCATGATAACTTGTCACCATCCATACCACAACCCACTCAAGCAAGCCCCGGGCATTCGAGTGGCTTGGGCCCACTTAAGCTTGTTGCGGGATAATAATTTCTCGCTTGGCATGGCATGTCGCTTGGCGTGTTTTTTTTTAAGTATGACGCTTGATAGGATGATTGGCACGAATTTGCAGTGCTAAATGCATCCTTATAATTTTAATCTCAGCATCTATCATGATAGATTTCTATTTTGGCGTGGCATGTAGGATATGGCTCGTGCATGGCGGACTTTTGTGCACTTCAAATCGAGTCTTTTTTCAATAATATGTCATCTTGGGCCTGGAATTTATTCGGGCCCAACCATGGATTTTTTAGGCCTCAACAAAGTCCACTTCAATATCTTTAAAAGTTGAGCCCACCATTGAGGAGATGGAGTTTTATGAAATCATTAAGTCATGTATATCTATTTTTCTCGATTAATTGCTTATAACGTGTGAGTTTTATTGTGCTGAAGCTAAATATATGATTATGTATATTTCTTATATAGAAATGCAGAGATCAAATGCTAATGCGCATGAGCACATTTTCACTAATTGATTCTTTATTGATGCACAACCTTGCAGTTATGGTAATTTTCTTATTCATTTCTTATTTTGCTCATCTTGTATCCTAAAATTTGTGTTGATTGAAACTACTTTTATGTGCAATATGGGGACACGCTGGAAACTGGGCAGCCTTTAATTAAATGGAAATTATGAACTTGTATTTTGGGCAGCCTTTCATTTCTTCGTTTATCATCTTGTATTCATTTCTTATGAACTTTAGAATGTTTGTTTTGATGGAAATTGTGAACTTAGATGCATGCTGGAAATCAGACAGCTTTTGATTAAA